AAAGCACACAATCCCGACGCCAAACCCCGCAAAGTGGTCAACAAATTCCGGTGCGAATGGACGGGTTGTGCGAAGGCTTTCCAGACAAGGGGTTTCCTGACCGCTCACGTCCGTCAGGTGCACACCGATGAGCGCCCCTTTGAATGCCCTCAATGTGGCCGTCGATTCTCTAATAACCAATACCTTCAGCACCACATTAAGTGCCACTCAAGCGATAAGCCATTCAAATGCCAATACCCGGGCTGTGAGTACAGCACTCACCAGAAGGCCAGTCTCGACGTCCATCACGAACGGCACGACACGACCACCGCTTACAAGTGTCCCGAAGAGGGATGTAATAAGAGTTTTGCCGTTAAACTCGCGTTGAATGTACACATAAAGGGCTGTCATCCGGCCGGCGGACGGCCGTATGTATGCGATTGGCCCGGATGTGAGGCCAGCTATAAAAACATGCCGATGTATAAGCGCCACAAGAATACCCATTTGGGTGTCAAACAGTTTGTGTGCGATATAGAGGGTTGTGGTAAAGGGTTTGTTAATAAAAGCTATTTATATCAACACAAACGCCAACACTTGAGGCCATTTGCGTGCAGTTGGCCCGCATGTGAACACCGCTTCGGCAGCAATGATAAGCTCGTGGACCACATGAACGCACATCAGGGCCTCCGAGTGGTCGAGTGTCCGGTCGAGGGTTGCGATAAGACATTCACCGGTAAGCCATCGGTTAGACATGTGAACACCGTTTCGGCAGCAATGATAAGCTCGTGGACCACATGAACGCACATCAGGGCCTCCGAGTGGTCGAGTGTCCGGTCGAGGGTTGCGATAAGACATTCACCGGTAAGCCATCGGTTAGACAACACTTAAAACAAGTCCATAAGTATAAGACCACTGAAGGACTTATGCCTCACATTAAATGAATTGTAGTTTTTGGTAATTTTATGTGTATTAATGTTTTGTAAAATTTTGTTTAATTTAATATAATTATGATAACAATTATAAGAAAATTATATTTTAAAGCCTTTAATTACTTAATTATTTCCAGTATTAAACTTTATTTCTCAAAGCATTCCTATTGTATACGTTATTAATGAATGGTTTGTTATTTGAGCCGTGTTTACAAACACTCACTTTTGGTCACAATTTAGTCCACATTTGAATTGAATTGAGATTTAAATACAATTGAAATCACAATTAAATTATAGTTTTGTGATTAAAATAATGCCTAAAATACTAGTGAATGATGTGTTGGAAGAGCTCTGGACTGAAAACACAAGACTTTTATATGAATTGAAAAGTTGTCACAAAATAATGGATTTGTTTGAAAAGTACAGACAATTCGTGATTAGTTTGAATGCAAACTGTATTTGTCCTCAAAATAGTGGACACAAACACACGTGGAATCAATTGACACACATTTACCACACTTTCACACATGATATCAAGTCATTCAACACA